GTTGTGTGTGTTTGTTGTGTGTGTGTGTGTGTTGGGTGTGTGTGTGTGGTGTGTGTTGGTGTGTGTGTGTTTGTTGTGTGTGTGTGTGTTGGTGTGTGTGTGTGAGTGTGTGTGTGTGTGTTGGGTGTGTGTGTGTGTTTGTTGTGTGTGTTTGTTGTGTGTGTGTGGTGTTGTGTGTGTGTTGTGTGTGGTGTGTGTGTGTGTGTTGGTGTGTGTTGTGTGTGTGGTGTGGTGTGTGTGGTGTGTGTTGGTGTGTTTGTTGTGTGTGTTTGTTGTGTGTGTTGTGTGTGTGTGTGTGATGTGTGTGTGTGTGTTGGTTGTGTGTGTGTGTGTGGTGTGGTGTGTGTGTGTGTGCTGTGTGTGTGTGTGTTGGGTGTGTGTGTGTGGGTGTGTGGTGTGTGTGTGGTGTGTGTTGGTGTGTGTGTGTGTGATGTGTGTGTGTGTGTTGTTGTGTGTGTGTGTGTGCTGTGTGTGTGTGTGTTGTGTGTTGGTGTGTGTGTTGGGTGTGTGTGTGTGTGAGTGTGTGTGTGTGTGATGTGTGTGTGTGTGTAGTGTGTGTGTGTGTGTCGTGTGTGTGTGTGTGGGTGTGTGTGTGTGGTTGGTGTGTGTGTGTTGGGTGTGTGTGTGTGTGCTGTGTGTGTGTGTGTTGGTGTGTGTGTGTGGTTGGTGTGTGTGTGGTGTGTGTTGGTGTGTTGTGTGTGTGTGTTGTGTTGGTGTGTGTTGGTGTGTGTGTTGTGTTGGTGTGTGTGTTGGTGGTGTGTGTGTGTTGTTGGTGTGTGTGTTGGTGGTGTGTGTGTTGGTGGTGTGTGTGTGTTGTTGGTGTGTGTGTTGTGTTGTGTGTGTGTTGGTGTGGTGTGTGTGTGTTTGTTGTGTGTGTTTGTTGTGTGTGTGTGTGTGATGTGTGTGTGTGTGTTGTGTTGGTGTGTGTGTTGGTGTGTTTGTTGTGTGTGTGTGTGTGTGTGCTGTGTGTGTGTGTGTAGTGTGTGTGTGTGTGAGTGTGTGTGTGTGTGCGTGTGCGTTTGCGTGTGCGTGTGCGTGTGCGTGTGCGTGTGCGTGTGCGTGTGCGTGTGCGTGTGCGTGTGCGTGTGCGTGTGCGTGTGCGTGTGCGTGTGCGTGTGCGTGTGCGTGTGCGTGTGCGTGTGCGTGTGCGTGTGCGTGTGCGTGTGCGTGTGCGTGTGCGTGTGCGTGTGCGTGCTATGTGTAAAAACAATTAATAAAGTAAACTCACAGTGGGCATGGCATGTACGTACATGCCATGCCTGTCGGCACTCGGTTATTGGAAGAAAGGCTGAAAAGAATGGGGGGAGAAGGACCATTGAAAAATAAAATGTACAAACCCATTCTTCTGTGAGGTTCTGCAACAGCTCACACTCCTTACCTCCAGAGAAGGCTCTCGGGAAAACTCCTGTGAGGAGGCATTACTGAAATCGTAGTCCGGGTAGAAAGCTGCGTTGAGAGTCGAGATTAAGTAGAAAAGGGTCTTGCGGTTGATCTTGTCCTCTAGGGGACTGTCCTCGCCACCACTGCTCTGAGAACTCCTGGGGACAGAGCTTAGACTTGACAGTGGAGGCCTTGCATGGCACTCCAAAACTCCATCATTACTAACAATTAGTTATTCAATTGCGAGTCTCTTTTGAGGGGTAGGGTTGCTGGGTGTGACGTAGGAGGCAAATACTAAAGGAGGGCAGAGAGATTATTAAAGTATCTGAAATAATTATGATTAATAATAATGGACTAACTAAACTTGCTTACCCTTCTTTCATCTCTTTAACATAAAATCAGAAGTTTTTCTCATGATAACATCTAGAAAAGTACTCAACACTGAATCCAAGACTACTACCTATCACGATAAAATAATAAACAAATAAAGACATATACACACTAAAAAAATTGCACTTCAATTTCCAAAACCCATAACATTAACTATCACCAACGAACCAGCCGATGAGGAAACCCAGACCATCCTCAGGCCTTAACGTCACCAAGAGTCAACTGCAGTCAACCTGTAACAAGCCTAAAGGTAACGCGTGGTGCAGTTCGCCGTGGGTGCCTCCTCCCCTGGCCTTACCACCATGGTTGTACCTGCCAGAGGGTCGTAAGCCACACAGGCCCAGCTTCACACCCAGTAATGAAAAGCCATAACGATGATAATGGCAATGGTGAATATAAAAGTGGTTGTTTTTCAATCCGAGTTAAGTTTACAATAGCTGTCTACAACATAAATGATATACTGAATAGTTAGAAATTACTGTAAAAGTGAAAAAAAAGTTAATTTTCATCTACTTTCTACTTGAATACACTGATATCTAACTACAATTAGCTAAGAGATTGAAAAGTTAATATAGTAATATATTTTTCATATATATAGATTTTTCAAACTCGATAATATATACTGATAGGCACAAACTTGGGAGCATATATCCGCAAATCTAGTTTAAGACACTGCTATTTTTATCTACGTAGAAAATACATAAATGAAATGTCCATAATGATCACCATT